GACACCCGCCTCTTTGTCAGTCACGACGGCATGCAGGTCAGAACTAAACACAGGGGTCAGAGGTCAGGGTGTGTGTGTGCGCGCGTGTGTATTTGTGTGGTTTGTCATTCATCTTTATAAAACTAAACACACCCTTGATTTCCAGAGTTTGTGTATTGGAACATGGAGGGTGGTTAATTTAAATTACTCAGGACGAACTCTGCTACATTTTTCTTTAAATGTTTGTAGAACAATAGATGTTAATTGTAAACTGACTCTCACATTTGTGTAATTGCTGAACCATGCTTATGATTTTGTTCGTCCTCTCGGTGTGTCCCTCTGCTCTCCAGACTGACATGCTGCACTCACTATCCTCCACGAGACCCAAAGTCAACACGGAGGACTTGTTCAAGGTCAGGAAGTTCATGGAGGACTTTGGACAGGAGGGCTGAGAGGTCCTAGTCAGCCTAGTTTCACTACTTACCATGTCTCTCCTCTAAAGCCCCATTCGTACAACCTTCTGTCAAATAGTTGCTACAGTATTACAACACTAAAAACTCAGATTTGTTCGACTAATCTGCATTGGCAAGAATGATGGAGCATCTTAACTTCAATCATATTCTTTCCCTACACTATTGGACAGTCCTGAAGACTGAAATACTGTATTTCTTTTATTGCCATCCTACACTTTTACAGTGAGTACAGAGCTCATCATTGAGTGGGGAAGGTGTTTACATCTGAGTTATTTTCTGTATTTTTCTGTATTTTTCAGTAGAAGAGCCCTTTTCTATTTCTGGTTTTGAACATTGAAAATAATAGTTCCACGACAGACATTGTTCCAATACTGTTGCCATAATAGTATTGCTGTGTCTCTTTATATAGTGCATTCTGAAAGTATTCAGACCCCTTGACTTTTTCCACATTTTGTGACGTTACAGCCTTATTCTAAAATGGATTAAATAAAAAATGTTCCTCATCAATCTACACACAATACCCCATAATGACAAAGCGAAAACAGGTTTTTAGAAAAAAGTTCAAATGTATACATAAGTATACAGACCCTTTGCTATGAGACTTGAAATTGAGCTCAGGTGCAACCTGTTTCCATTGATCATCCTTTAGATGTTTCTACAACTTGATTGGAGTCCACCTGTAGTAAATTCAATTGATTGGACATGATTTGGAAAGGCACACACCTGTCTATATAAGTTCCCACAGTTGAAAGTGCATGTCAGAGCAAAAACCAAGCCATGAGGTCGAAGGAATTGTCTGTAGAGCTCCGAGACAGGATCGTGTCGAGTCACAGATCTGGGGAAGGGTACCAAAACATTTCTGCAGCATTGAAGGTCGCCAAGAACACAGTGGCCTCCATCATTCTTAAGTGTTAGAAGTTTGGAACCACCAAGACTCTTCCTAGAGCTGGCAGCCCGGCCAAACTGAACAATCGGGGGAGAAGAGCCTTGGTCAGGGAGGTGACCAAGAATCCGATGGTCACTCTTGTTGAGCTCTAGAGTTCCTCTGTGGAGATGGGAGAACCTTCCGGAAGGACAACCATCTCTGCAGCACTCCACCAATCAGGCCTTTATGGTAGAGTGGCCAGACGGAAGCCGCTCCTCAGTAAAAGGCACATGACAGCCCGCTTGGATTTTGCCAAAAGGCACCTAAAGACTCTCAGACCATGAGAAACAAGATTCTCTGGTCTGTTGAAACCAAGATTTAACTCTTTGGCCTGAATGCCAAGCGTCACGTCTGGGGGAAACCTGGCACCATTCCTACGGTGAAGCATGGTGGTGGCAGAATCATGCTGTGGGGATGTTTTTCAGCGGCAGTTACTGGGAGACTAGTCAGGATCGAGGCAAAGATGAACGGAGCAAAGTACAGAGAGATCCTTAATGAAAACCAGCTCCAGAGCTCTCAGGACCTCAGACTGGGGTGAAGATTCACCTTCCAACAGGACAACAACCCTAAGCACACAGCCAACACAACACAGGAGAGGCTTCGGGACAAGTCTCTGAATGTCCTTGAGTGGCCCAGCTAGAGCCCGGACTTAAACCTGATCGAACATCGCTGGAGAGACCTGAAAATAGCTGTGGAGCAATGCTCCCCATCCAACCTGATAGAGCTTGAGAGGATCTGCAGAGAAGAATGGGAGAAACTCCCCAAAAAACAGGTGTGCCCAGCTTATAGCGTCATACCAAAGAAGACGCGAGGCTGTAAACGCTGCCAAAGGTGCTTCAACAGAGTACTGAGTAAAGGGTCTGAATACTTATGTAAATGTAATATTTTAGTTGTTTATTTTTAATACATTTGCAAAAATGTATAAAAACCTATTTTTACTTTGTTATTATGGGGTATTGTGTGTAGATTGATGAGGGGGGGAAAAAAACAATTTAATCCATTTTAGAATAAGGCTGTAATGTAACAAAATGTGAAAAAGGTCAAGCGGTCTGAATACTTTCCGAAGGCACTGTATATATCTGTGTGTGTGTGTGTGTGTGTGTTATGTATGTACAGTAGTTGGGGGTCTATCGGTTCAGTAATACTGAAGTCAGTTCTGGTTCCAGAGGGGATCTCAATGCTGTTGCACATAGCATGACTTAATAAAACCTGAATTAAAAAAGAACAAGATGTGTTTGTTATTATTTTATTTTAACTTTACATTATACCCTGTGTTATAGTAGATCACTGCTTAATACTGACTACACCCTTCCCTTATACATTTCTACCCACATTTCTGTCCACAACTTTTGAATCTGGTAATAATTAAACAGATACTGTTCTGCCTTTCCAATTGATGTAAACTTTCCACACAGATATTCACTTGAAAACGCAAAAGACCTTCACATTGTAGGTCTGTTTTAACAATGTAATAATAATATATGCCATTTAGCCAAAGGGACATACAGTAATTTATGTATACATTTTACATACGGGTTGGCCCCGGGAATCGAACCCACAACCCTGGCGGTGTAATTGCCATACTTTACAGGACCACACATTCATAATGTAATATGTGTTTATAACAGTCAATAATAGTTATAATAACAGTGTAATAATTGTTTATAACGATGTACAGCGCATCTACCAATGCACAGATGCGTTTCAAGAGCCTATTTTGTTTTCAGAATCCTCAGACCCCTGACGGGGAGCAGCATTGGGGACATTGCCATCTAGTGGATTGGAAATTAAACTATTCCAGATATTAAAATGTCAATCATTAATTCCTTTTCAATGTATTTATATTTAACATTATTGTTTAATAAACATTTAGATGCCCCCTTATTAAAATTATAACGTTTTGAACATGTACTGATTGCATATTTAATTTAATTTGCCGACCTTGGCAGAGACCTATTTACAAATAACCACCAGAACTCAACTATAATCCAGTACTTGTACCCCGTGTATATAGCCAAGTTATCGTAACTCATTGTGCATTTATTCCTTCTGTTATTCTTTACATATTTTTCTATTATTTTTCTTTTTTTCTCTCTGCATTGTGGGTAAGGGCCGTATGTAAGCATTTCACTGTTAGTCTACACCTGTTGTTTTAAATAAATATTTGAATCCTCAATACCTACTTAAATAGCATGAAAAGTGGAGGGTAGGATCAGAGAAACAGAACGCATCTTGAAACAGACAAAAAATATACTACAATTTCTGATATTGTGTTCAAGTAAACGGGTGACTTTTATTATGAAGCTTTTTTTTTATTAATGTCGCTGATTTCACGGAGATCAGAACCTTTGCGTGTATAGGAATGGTGATTGGTCAAGACTCCACGTGAAAAGTGGAGCTAGCTAATTTGTGTCTACAACTCGCTCGTCGTTTGGTGCGACGCAAACATGGTGGCGAGAGTGGGGAAACAGAAGAGTCATTGTCTGTTCTTTTGAGTTTTGAAGTTGAGTCTTTGCCAGAAAAAGTGAAGTTAGGATATATAAGTTATCCTGTATGAGCTTATGTGCCGAATACATTACGATGTTACAGGTGTCAAATTTATGGGCATTTGGCAGCAGTATGTAGGAGGGAGGTTCCAAGGTGTGAGAAGTTACCTCCATAACTTGCTACATTTGCACACACTGTATATATATTTATTTCTGTTGTATTTTTGACTTTGTTTTGTTTTACTCCATATGTAACTCTGTGTTGTTGTTTTTATCGCACTGCTTTGCTTTATCTTGGCCAGGTCGCAGTTGTAAATGAGAACTTGTTCTCAACTGGTTTACCTGGTTAAATAAAGGTGAAATGAAAAAAATAAAAAATAAAAATAAAGTGTGCATAAGGCCATGAGACAAAGGAATGTGTAGCATTGGGGAAAGTGGTGGTATGTGCTAATTGTAGGGGTGGCAATGGGGCTGGGGATCAGAAATGTCCCGTGCGAGAGAAGCAGGTTGAGGCTTCCAGGGTAAGAGTAGTGAAGAAGTTGTCATATGCTAAGGCAGTGAATAAAGTAGAGCAAGAGGTGTCAAGGGGGGAGTGGTGAGAGTAGGATAATGTACTAGTACAGAGGGATAGGACAACAAGTGATATATGTTTCAGTAAGATTGGATTTTTAGCGTTTATAGCAATGGTTATTAATTGTACTGCAGGGATGGAACGTAAATCGAAGAAAATTGAGGTTGTGGTGGCAGCTGCAGAGAGGTATTTGGGTGTGCAAGACTTGACATCAGAAGAGTTACAGGGATTGTTAAGTGGTGATGTCCCATAATTTCAGGTTGAGGGCATGAGGTAGGAATGAATATATTGAAATAGTGGAGAAGGGTGGTGTTAATTATTAATAATATTTTTGAATTTGTGAGTGTAGTGTTAGAGGGTAGGGTATTTATTTAATTTAATTTTTCAAGCAAAATACAAGGGAGTTGAACTCCAGTCTAGTAGGAGGCGGTAATGCAACAAATTGGATGCCAACCGCCGTTAAACCTCATTGAAGAAGAAGAAGAAGAAGAAGAAGAAGTGTCTAGAACTCTATTCTGAAGTGTTGTCCTTTATAGCTACAGTGTCCAACCAACCAGCCGTTGACGATGGACTCCACTCTACTGCTACTATTGACAATGTTCGTTGTTTTAGGCAAAGTTGTTGGAGACAGAAGGCTGACATTTGTCACTGTGGTGAGTATGCTAGTTAGCTAGCACATACAGTTGATATGCAAGTTGACTTGTATAGCTGAAGTTCGCCAGCCAGCTTGTGTGTGCTTGCTTCTAACGTTTCTAGCTAGCTAGATAGGCAGTCGTGTCAGTGGCTGTCATTCTTCTCTTTGGCAGTCCACTTATTATGTAACGTTAAAGTTAGCTGCTTACCAACTCGTTAACTACCTAACATAGCTAAACTACCTAACTTAGCTAGCTAAACCGCAAGAAAGCTGGAATCTGTAACGTTACCAAAAGAGGAACTAACGTTAGCTATCTTTTTTTTTTTTTTTTTCTGTAGGCTAGCCTTTGCACTGGTAAACACTATCGAGTCTGGACAGTTAGTGCTGTGTACCTAGCTAACGTTAGCGAACTAACTAACAAACGTAACGTTAAGCTAATACTGTTTCACTGTTGCCTGTTTTAGGGCTGTACAAGCTAGTATGTGACCCCAATGACAATTTCACGTAACATTAACTATCTGACCAAATAAGACTTAACTTTTTTTATTGGATGAACAACACTGGATTGTTGCAATGTTGAGTTTGCTCTAGCATTAATGAGTAAGTGTGGCTATGTTAATGCAAGACAAAATACACATTGAGTTATTAGCCTAATTGTGGTGTGGGTTTCGCGGACCTTTTTTTATGCAGCTTGTGCTGGAAATGGAAAAGCTAGTCCAACCAGTTTGTCACTTGCCTAGAATATCTTGTTTGGGTGACTTTCATAGAGTTTCTGTGTCCTATTAAATGTTTTACATAGCTCTACCGCCATGGTGACCGATCCCCAGTCAAAGCCTACCCTACTGATCGCTACCAGGAGAGCTCTTGGCCACAGGGCTTTGGACAGCTCTCGCAGGTAAAGACCAACAATTGATTTGAAATCCATTCTTCATCAAGGACTGAATAACACTAGCCTGAAATCCAGAACCTCTTTTGCTAACATTCCACTCCTTGTACTTCTTGTCATGCTAATGCTATGTTTAGCATGACAATGAGTGGAATGATACCTCAAACAAACTGGTACCCAAGCTAGAATAAGTTTTGAGGAAAAATCCTGATGTACTGATGGGTGTGGTTCTTGTTGTACTAATAGCACACCGTTTCTGTGATCCCTACAGGAAGGAATGAGGCAGCACTTTGAGCTGGGACAGGTGCTGCGGAAACGCTATCAGGGTTTTCTCAATGACACCTATGACCGACGTGAGGTAATTTATGGTTTAGCACCTTGTTGAAACGATGATGGTACCATCTCGGTCACACACTCATTTCAATTAGAAAAGTTGGTGAAGATTTGCAAATTGGATTGTGTTTATTGCCCATGTTAAACAAACTGTGCACTCTGTACAAATAATGGACTCTCTTCCAACAATGCACTAGGTCTTGAAGTAAGTAAAACCAGCTCTAGGCTGTAGCCACAGAAATGCAAAAGGAAGTATCTTGTTTCAGTGATAGCCACTACCCCTCCTATTGTTCTTTGTCTAGATTTCTGTGAGGAGCACAGACTATGACCGGACCTTGATGAGTGCAGAGGCCAACCTGGCTGGATTGTACCCTCCCAATGGGTCACAGGTCTTCAACCCGTCACTGGAGTGGCAGCCTATTCCTGTTCACACTGTGCCCCAGGATGAGGAGAGGGTGAGCAGGGTGCTGAGGTCTTGGGTGACATCCAAAGTTTCACAGCTGCCACAAAATATGGAAATTCTGAATATAATTCTGTTTTAAATAATAAGTTATTGGCTACCTCCATACTAATGTTCCCATCTAAAATGTCTATCTATTTCAGCTTTTGTCGTTTCCCATTCCGGGTTGCCCTCGTTATAAAATCCTCATGAATGAGACAGAACGCTCAGAAAAGTACCTCAACATGACATTTCTATACAAAGTAAGTGTCACTGGAATTAAGGTGATGACTGGCTAATGAAGCTAGAGACTTATTCCTATGAAATGTGATTACCTTTTTGTTAACTGTCTGCTATGGTTTGTGAGGCTTCACAATTCATATTCACTTTAGATTCATTTTCATTGTCCCCCACGATGAAATCGAGGAAGGGACTGTGGATTGGTCTCCCTCCGTTAGTACATTTGTATTTGCGTTAGTCGCACGCGATATCTAAGGCAGCACTGGGTCGATTTTGACTAAACTTGTGAGAATGATGTGAGAGAGAACCAGCATTAACACAATTACACAGATTGGCCAGGTGGTGGCGCTATAACAAGCGATTGAAAATGCCAACTTTGAAAGGTCACGCCCGTAACCCCATTTGAACATGGGTGCCTCTCCTCACAAGGATCAAATTTGCCTCAGGGACCTATAAGGTCCACCATGATGGATTTTCCGCCATTTAGAGTTTTTTGAGAAACACTTAAAACTACTCTTCTGGCACCGAATGACCGATTTGCACGAAACTTGATATGTGGCATCTATGGACAAAGGTCTCTCAACGCAAAACTTTCCAGACTAGTACCTAAAACAACATGGCTGCTATTGACCAGGAAACATTCACATGGGCGTGGTCTGACACATAAATGCATATATATCAGTAAAGGATATACGTGTTGTAACAAAATGTAGTACACATGTTGCAAACACTGTCAAGACTCAACATATACGAGAACATTCATATCGACCACACTGTGGCGCTAGAACGGGCACATGTTTACATCTCTTGATCTGTTTGAGTGATAATTTGGCACACATGCTCAGGGATACGACTCTAGCTAACCCACGCGATATCTCAGATACCACTGGCCCGATTTTTGACAAAACTTGGGTGAATGATGCATCTTGCCATAGAGATCTGCCATTTATAAAATTACACTGATTGGCCCAAGAGGGGTGCTATAGTAATCAACTGTACGTAAGTTAGTCACACGTGATATCTCCGACACAGCCGGCACGATTTTGATGAAACTTGGGTGAATGATGCTTCTTGCCATAGAGATCCGGCATTTACAAAATTACACTGATTGGCCTAAGGGGGGCGCTGCATCATTTGTGGGGGAAGACATGTTTGCTGTTGCCTTGTTCCTACCTTGTTTTGAATTTCTTCTCCATCACTTGCCAACCACACAGGTCGACACAGCTTTGACAGCTCAACAAGCTTAACTTTGAATGCCCCTTGTCTAGATGATCATTGTTTGATCCTTTGCTCTTACAGGATTTAATAGCGATGGTACGGGAGAAAACTGGTCTGAAGAACACTAACATTGAGACTGTTTGGAGTGTCCATGACACCTTGTTCTGTGAGGTAAGCAGCTTATATGACCTATAATAGATATCATTCCTTATAGTTTTATCACTTTGCTTACTATCAATGCAGAATATATTGCAAAACATTACAGAATTTCCACCGTACAGTTTGCCATAAATCATGCAGATTTGTGTGAGTGAATGTTAAACTTTAAGTTAGAATGTGAAATGTTCCTACAGCCAAAGTTTTAGCTAGCGAGGAACCACAGTGGTTTATGGAAGTGAAAACAGAACTGTGAGCTGGCGCTGCGCCTGTGGCTACTCTGCCTTGTAACTGTAGAGAGGTGATGGAACTCGTGCTTCAGTCTACTCTGGCAGCAGAAATCAGCCTGCCATGTAAAGACATTTGGGAAGGGTTGGGGAGACACAAAGGCAGCAATGTGGTCATTGATTGTCTCCGGCCAGATCAAAACAATTATTTGTATATATCACGAAACGTGTTCATCAAGAAATATAGCCTATACCTACTTTCATTTTATTGGTGGGTACATTGGGAACCTTGTTTTATTGGATGTTCTACACTGTAATGGTAGCAATATCATGCTATTTAACTTTAGAGACAGACAACAGCATGTATTATTATCTTACTAACATTGTTGTGTAGTTTCACCTTGATGCAGTGTCATGATCATAATGGGGCTTTTCGTTTTTGTTCTCCATCCATGTGATTTTAGGCAAGGCACAACATGACCGCTCCTGACTGGGTGACCCCTGAGATCATGGATGATCTGAGGAAGCTCAAGGACTTTGGCTTTGAAATCATGTTTGAGGTCTACAAGCATCAGGAGAAAAGCCGTCTCCAAGGAGGTAATGCGAACTGTCAGAATGGGAAGGGCAAAAACTTGTTTCAGCTTACCTATCTACGTTCCCTTTGTATGTGCTATTTAGTGATGGTCTAACTGTAAGTCGCTCTGGATAAGAGCGTCTGCTAAATGACTAAAATGTAAATGTAATGGTCAAGGCTGCGGAGCCCGTCCCGCCCCATGGTTTCCTTTTCCCCACACCTGGATTTCGCCTGTCGGATAGGTTTCAATACATAGAAATAGAATGAATAGAACAGACAAATCATTGACTTGAATGTGGACTCCTATTCTATTTTAATGCATTCCTATCCGATTAGCCGAAATCCGGATAAAAAAAAAAAAAAAGGTCCTAAAGATCCAAATCACAGTCTGCACATGTTTCTTTACCTCTGCTTTACACACAAATATTTGTGGTCACCCTCCCTTTTATATTTCTCACTGTCAATCATGAATGATAATTCTTCAAGTTCTACTGGATAAACGTCCATGCAGTATCTGCATACCAACCATTTGATCTCAATCATTTTCATGGGGATATCTTCTTGAGTTATAGTGTTGTCTTGAAGTAGCCTACAGTGTTGTTTTGAGTTGTGTACAGTGAGCACATTTTTGAGCATATTGTTTTAACGAACTGTAGCATGTTTCAGTCAAAGCACATATTTTGCCTAGTGGTGTGCGCTGTTGAGTTTTGGCCACATGAGAGAAATGTGACCATTTGCAAAATCATCCTAAAATCTCAAGAAATGAGGTGGTGTTTGTTGTCTGACAGTAACGTTATACAATGGTATTATATTACATTCTGTTATGTAGAATACTATCGTTATGCCATGTTGCAGAAATGGATTCAGCTTTGATCTTACTTTAGTAAACAGCACCATTCGCCAGAGTAGCCTGTTCTCTACGAGTAGAGCACAGACTGTGCGTAAAGTAGAGGATCCCGCACATGCACAGAAGCTTCGGGACGTTTAGCTGTCGGGAAGAGGGGTCCAGAAAAGTTGGATCGGCAGCCACTCAGTTTAGTTATTGCAATTCTTCATATGTCCCTCAAATATATGAGAGTGATTAGAGATTTGAATATGCATTCCTACATCTTTGAGTTGACCATACTAAGCCAAACGGTTAAACTACTTTGTACATCATCGAGATGAAGACTAATCCCACACCCACCATTAAAGTCAGCTGAAGGAATGAGATAAGAGAAGGTAAATCTTCTCAAATTGTCTAGTTAACTGCTCACTATATGCTTTTACTACTCTATCAAATAGGTGTCCTCTTGGGTAGCATTGTAAATAACATCTCAGAGTCTGCACTTCCCAACTCTAATCGCCGTCTGAAGATGATGATGCTCTCTGCGGTAAGTTTTTAAATCTTGTGCATTATCTCCTTTTTACGTGGATGCCTTGGGCTGTTTGCTGCTAATTGTTCATCTAATGCAGGGATAGGAAACTGGCGGCCCATGTGGCCGGTAGCCCCTGTTTTGTAGGCCCGCGGACCAATTTAATTTTGGGGGGGAACTCAGTCGAGGGCTCTACTTACTGTTGAGAGTTAGAATAATAAAATACACAAGGTGCAATTTTGAAATTTGGTTGCGCATCAGCAGTCACTCAATTAGCCCATGTCAGCAATTTTTTGTGGGATTGGTAAGTTAGTCCAGCGGCCAGCTATCTAATCTTGTAGTAAGCGTGGCCGAATTACCGACCGGGGAGGGCCATTGCTCATCAGTTATCATATTAAAAACTGCAAACTTTTTCTCTCCACCCCATGGCAAAATATGTAGAATTGCAGCAAACTTTCTTTAAAACGGCAACATTTACCCTACACCCAATGGCAAAATGTGCCGAATTGCAGGGGGTGTATGGATGTGGGTACGCATACCGACGAGCCACTGTGGCCCCTCATGATGACTTCCGTTTTTTTGTGGACCCCTTCCCCACCATCAAAGTTGCCCATCCCTGATTGAATGCATGAGTCTTTTGTGTTACTTTTCAGCATGACACCACCATTGTGGCTTTGCAGTCGAGTTTGAGTATCTTCAATGGAAAGCAGCCGCCCTATGCCTCCTGCCACATATTTGAACTCTATCAGGAAGACAACGGGTAGGAATAAGAACCTTGTTCAAAGCTTGTCCAAACTTTGTGTAGTTATATTATACTGTATTCTTTTGTGAACTGGCTCAGATAAGCAACATTCAGTCAAATAAATAAAATATCCGATTTAGATCTACTGTCAGTCTGATATAGAAAGTCTTCGCCCTCTTTAGATCATTCACAGTGGCCATGTTTTACCGCAATGACACCACAAGAGCGCCTTACCAACTGGCTGTACCTAGCTGTGATCTCTTCTGCCCCCTGGAGGACTTTGTGCGCCTCACCAAACCATCCATCCCAGAGGATTGGGACAAGGAGTGCATGGTGGAGTCTCCCACAAAGGATACAGGTATGATGGGAGTAACATGGGCCTTTGATAGAATGGGTTGAATAAGGGTAATTCCACTTTAAAGGGATACTATGGGAATTATCTACTTTCCCAGTGTCAGATGAACTCGTGGATACCATTTTTATGTCTCTGTGTGCAGTTTGACTAGCGTTACCCATAGACTTCCAGTCATTGCGAAACTACCTCTAACTTCCTTAATACTGGACACAGAGATGTAATAATGGTATCCACGAGTTCATCTGACTCTGGGGAAGTACTTAAAGGGCCTCTGCCAAAATCCCCAAGTATCCCTTTAATTAAAAAAGTGCATGAAGGAGGATTTTGACACCCACTGTCTCAGATTGTTCTGAAATGGTTTCTGTAGTTAGAAACGGATAAGATGAGCATTCATTCAACATTATTTTGTTGAAATGTAATTTGATCTCTGAGAAATTAGCCTAATTAATTGCACCTATATTGGCCATTTTAATTTATAGGGTTCATATAATATTCAATATACTACCAAACATCCAATTTGGACCAAATTTCTTCTTGCCATTGAGTAGAAAATTAAAAACAATTGTCAAAAGCCACCTATAGACCCCATCCACACACACACACACACACCAATCCCACCCCAACATCCAGAATACATTTTTCTTTGAGATTTATTAATGTAGGGGTTCCCAAATGTTTTCACTCAGGCCCCCTTCCAGCATTGGGGAACATCCCGCGTCCCCCTATGCGCACGCGAGCTCCACGTCTATTTCTATGGGCATAAGCACTGTTCATGACACACTGTTCACACCCCTCTTGTTGGTAGAGAGAACATTTAGCAGGTTTAAAGCTTATTTCCTGCAATTCTACACGTCATGTCTGTGTATTCATGTGATAGTTGAGTGACTAAAACATTTTAACAAAATCTATGGGCAAAAAAACCTTGAAAGAAAATGTTAGCTGACATGGGCTAGTTGATCTGGATATTTCGGACAAGTTATAAATAGCTCTCTAAGGTATGCAATTACTAACGAGAGGAAAGCTGATGATGCACTACCCAATTTCAAAATTGCACTTTGTGCATTCTACTATTACAACTTTCAAGAGTAAGTTGAAAGCTGCACTGAGTTCCAGGTAATACCAGTATGTATGATGGGACATAAAACAACTTCAATTACTAATTTATCTGAACAGGGGGGGGAAGTACATCACCAAATTCACTGGGATTACATAGTATGACAAAACAATACTCAAGCCGCAGTTCAATACTACTTGTCAAACATAGAGAACTGATACAATATACTGGTAAATGGGATGGGATTCATATCTTACTCATTGGTAGGAAGACGTTTGGACCAAATCGGATGTTGGGTACTATATTTATTAAATATATTATATGAATCCTATAAATTAAAATGACCAATTGGCTGAATTTTTCAGAGATCAAATTATATTTAAACAAAATAAAGTTGCAGGAATGCTTATCTTATCTGTTTCTTACTGCAGAAACTATTTCAGAACAATTTGAGATGGTGGGTGTCATGGCATGCTGAAATGACATGGAATAACTGATAATGTGTGTTTGACATATCTACTGTGTCTTTCTCTGGTCCCATCATCAGAGGTGGTCATCGGACTAGCAGTTTGTTGCTGTTTGCTCTTCCTCCTTATCGTCCTCCTGCTCGCTGTGCTTTGTCGGCAACGTGATCCCTCCAACGGCTACAGTCACATTCCCAATGAGAATGAATCTTGACAAATGTACAAACTCCACCGTAAGCAGGATTCATGGGATAGTGAAGAAGATGTTTGAATGCCTCACAGTTCTGCCCTCTGGTGGGGAAGCAGGAAAAGTGAACACTAAACTGCTTTTAGTGCAACTTTTGTTTTTGTGCTTTAAAAAAAAAAAATGCTTACTGGGGAGGACAATGGTTATCTAGTCCTCTAGTCAACTGTTGTCATGGTAAGTATTCCTAAGCTTGTGAAAGAAGTCGGCTACTGGATTCTGACAAAATTGCCTTTTTAATGTTTTCGAATACTACTTGTACTCATTTTACTCATGGGTCCAAGTCACCTGACCATCGTTCTTACAAAATGTGGACCACTGGATGCTTCATGCTTGTTTGATTCTCCCCTTGGAAAGTAATGATCATTGTGACACTGAACCCGAGGACAGCTTGTGCTTCATTCTCTCCAAGGAACAGATTTTGGATTGTACTGAGCATTCTTACATTTCTAGGAAGTCATTGGATAAAGATGCTATTTATTTCCTCTAGTGGTGATTGTCATGGTACTTGGAGAAGCCTTCACATCATGGTACTCTTGGTAAAGGCTTTGCTCTATATTTCAGAGGCACCTACTAACAAGCCTGTCATGCTTTATTTTTATTTGATTTTATTTCACCTTTATTTAACCAGGTAAACCAGTTGAGAACAAGTTCTCATTTACAACTGCGACCTGGCCAAGATAAAGCTTTGTGCCTTGGGCTGTTAGATTCCATTTAAGGCACAGTAATTCATTTATTTGCTGAAAGTGCAACGTATCTAACAGTGTGACTGTCCTCTTTCTGCTATTTTAAAACTGCCTCTGAGGTTGAGACCTTTTAGGCACAAGTGATTACTTTTTAATCTGCATCAGTTTTTTCATCCCCCAAAAGTTTACAAAAATACATTATTGTAATTATTACAATATAAATACAGTATAATATTATACCTTTCTATGTTACTAGGTGCAGAGTTCACAGCCTGAGGGGGCTCTCCACTGAGTTCCCATCAAACAAGTCACTGTATTGCAAGCAGCTGCCAGCTGTAATTAGTGCTGAGCGATGAGTGCTTTTTGAGGTCGTTTCTGTTTTGATTTTTTTATCACGGTTTCATTCATTTTTTAAAAACATTAAATGCACTATGTATTATGTGGGTTGAATGCTGTAACGACACAAAATAAAACAATTACTGCTTATCACTTATTACCATTTATTCACAGTACTTTACTATAATAACATATTTCAGTTCTGTATATTAAACTTATTTTATTTCATGACTTGATTTCATTCCGTCATCTCATCTCGAAAGAGCTGCTGCCTATGCTGTCTGACAAAATCACTATTTTAGTAGTTCTAAAAAGTAAATAAGAAATACTTTTATGACTACTGAATACCAACTATCAATCACTTAGATTATGTATTTTCAGGTAGAAATGCCTTGAAGAAACTCCTCGCTATCCCTATCGATCACCCATTCTTCAGTCTCCTCTCTCTCTCTCTCTCTCCATGTCTTCCCCACACTAACCTAATGTAGCAGGTGTAAAAGAAACACAGACCAGACAAGTTGGCTTTATCTCTAGAGAAACTGCATGTTGAGCTCAGGGGAAAAAAAGCACAATGGAACCGAGATCATCAATTAGGTTTAAAAAAAACAAAAAATAACTGACATTTCAGTTAATCGCTCAGCACTAACTGTAATTTTCATTTGCATGTGTTCTCCCATTGTGTTTTCATGGGCAATGAGTAATTATAATGGTGCCTATTGTTTAACCAGACATCTGGTTCAAGTTGTCCAACTGGTTTGTGCAGACATAATGGGCCCAATCATCATGTCTCCATTTTATCACATTGTTACAGTCGAGCTGTAAAGCATTTCTTTGTATTTTTTTTGTACTGGAGAGTAATTCTGATCTGTAATATTTTGTGTTAAGTCATGAACAATTGGTTTCACCGTAGTGCTTGAATTATTGCAACAATCCTTTTGAGATTGTTTGCCTGAACTTTTGCAATGCTGTTTAACATTAATGCTTTTATGTCCTGATATGCTGGAAATTTGTAAGCATTTTATGTATTGGTAATTCGCAATCCTTTATTTGATTTTAGCCACTGTTTGCATTTAGATTGCTTAAACTGCATTTTTAGGTGTTTTAAATGATCAATAATCCTGTCTTCTGCACCTTTTTAATAAGTTGTTCCATTCTTAAAATTACTTAGGTTCCATTCTTAAAATTACTTAGGCTAGTACTTGTTCCGAGAGGTAGGGGAATGTACAGGTAACAGACAAAATAAAGGAAACACCTAAATAAAGTGTCTTAATAGGGCGTTGGGCTACCACGAGCCACCAGAACGGCTTCAATGCGTCTTGGCGTAGATTCTACAAGGGGGGAATTCCAACCCAAGTTAAGCGTGGGTAAATGGAACGTACAGTGCATTTGGAAAGTATTCAGACCCCTTCCCTTTTTCCCACATTTTGTTACGTTACAGCCTTATTCTAAAAGGGATTTAAATATTGTATTCCCTCATCAATCTACACACAATACCCCATAATGACAAAGCGAAAACAGTTTTTTAGAAATGTTTGCAAATTTATAACATATTAAAACACATTAAGTATTCAGACCCTTTGCTATGAGACTCGAAATTGAGCTCAGGACCATCCTGTTTCCATTGATCATCCTTGAGATGTAAATTCAATTGATTGGACATTATTTGGAAAGGCACACACCTGTCTATATAAGGTCCCACAGTTGACCGTGCCTGTCAGAGCAAAAACCAAGCCATGAGGACGAAGGAATTGTGTCGAGGCACAAGTTTGGAACCACCAAGACACTTCCTAGAGCTGGCCGACCGGCCAAACTGAGCAATCGGGGGAGAAGGGCCTGGGTCAGGGAGGTGACCAAGAACCTTGTGGTCACTCTGACAGAGCTCCACAGTTCCTCTGTGGAGATGAGAGAACCTTCCAGAAGGACAACCATCTCTGCAGCACTCCACCAATCAGGCTTTTATGGTAGAGTGGCCAGACGGAATCCACTCCTCAGTAAAAGGCACATGACAGCCCACTTGGAGTTTGCCAAAAGGCACCTGAAGGACTCTCGGACCATGAGAAACAAGATTCTCTGGTCTGATGAAACCAAGATTGAACACTTTGGCCTGAATGCCAAGCGTCATGTCTGGTGGAAACCTGGCACCATCCCTACGGTGAAGCATGGTGGTGGCAGCATCATGCTGTGGGGATGTTTATCAGCGTCATGGACTGGGAGACTAGTCAGGATCGAGGGAAAGATGAACGGAGCAAAGTACAGAGAGATCCTTGATGAAAACCTGCTCCAGAGCGCTCAGGACCTCAGACTGGGGCGAAGGTTCACCTTCCAACAGGACAACGACCCTAAGCACACAGCCAAGACAATGCAGGAGTGGCTTCGGGACAAGTCTCTGAATGTCCTTGAGTGGCCCAGCCAGAGCCCGGACTTGAACCCGATCTAACATCTCTGGATAGACCTGAAAATAGCTGTGCAGCGACGCTCCCCATCCAACCTGACAGAGCTTGAGAGGATCTGCATAGAAGAATGGGAGAAACTCCCCAAATACAGGTGTGCCAAGCTTGTACCGTCATACCCAAGAAGGCTCGAGGCTGTAATCACTGCCAGAGGTGCTGAGTAAAGGGTCTAAATACTTGTAAATGTGATATTTCAGTTTTTTATTTTCAATACATTTCAAAAAAACCTGTTTTTGCTTTGTCATTATGGGGTATTGTGTGTAGAGTGATGAGGGGGGAAAAAACAATTTAATTAGTTTTAGAATAAGGCTGTAACGTAACAAAATGTGGAAAAGGTCAAGGGGTCTGAATACCTTCTGAATGCACTGTAATTCCCTTTTTATCCACTTTTCTCTCTACATTCTGACCTTGAACTTAAGCATGAGAATAGCATGCTATTCACCCGCTATTCGTTTTGGGTGGAGATCAAAGAAATGAAAGTGTGGCGGAGGTGTGTCTACAGATAAGCTGTGTGCTGATCTTGACTTAATTCCCCTCATCATTCCACCACCTTTACGTGTGATGAATAAGGTAGAGCAACCTGTCGGTTCCAAGTGGAACAACACCTATCTTTTTTTAGATGGAATTAACACCATTCTCCATGCACTGTAATTTACCAAATTGATAAGAGCTAGGTAAATGAGTAAACTGTTTGGGAAAGGGGATTGTAAATATAAATGACAATTGTTTTAGATCTATTTTACCTGGAGATAAATGTGACACCAGTCATATGGCTGCAAACTGAAGCATATCAACATACTGTATCAACTTTTCCACAGTGAAGATTATTAAATGCTGGCCTTATAACCTTTCAGGGGAGACCCAAGCTGTAGGCTTCTGTAGCCATGCGGAAATGACCGTATAGCACCAAACCTACAGAGTTGATTTATGATTATTAGTGTAGATTTATTGGACTACTGTTCAACCCCTATTGTACACTTTTCTCACCTACCAATATTTCATGGATTGATCAATTGAATATGGCAACTTTCAGGATGAATCAAACCACTATTTTTGATTCACCAATAATATTTTGTGCATAAAAGCTCTCCAAAGGTTTTTTATTTATTATTCATAAATACTTTACTAATCCTAAATAATATACAATATCAGATTTTTAAAGCTACCAATTGGTGCTGAAAAGGCAACATGGGTTCCAGGTCTGCGATACTGGAGGAAACGTAGCCCATGGGCTTCAAATTCAGGATACTCTCCACTTCAATGAGGACAGTTCTGAGCACTTCTTCGGTCACTGACTGGGCACCCACTGTAGTGTAGAAGACAGTCTTAATGGAGCGAATCTCTCTTTCCCAAACTCCTCCGAAGTGCGGTGCTGCAGTGGGGTTGAAGCGGAAAGCAATCTTCTGTTTTGCAAGCTGCTCTTGCAGGTTGGGAGGCAAATCAGCGAAGGTCTCGCACAGCTCCTCGCCTCCCCGGAAGTTTGTTCCCTGGTCAGAGAACAGCTCAGCCGGCGTCCCTCGGCGGGCGATGAATCTTCTAAGGGCCATCAGAAAGGAGTCTGCATCGATGTTGGTCAGGAGGTCCAGGTATACACCCGTGGTGAGACACTTGAAGATTATCCCCCATCTCTTCTCAATGCGCCACCCCAGTTTGACCTGGAAGGGCCAGACGCAGTCCATGCCCATGGAGTGGATGGCTGGCTTGAAGAGGCACAGGCGTGCAGCTGGCAGGTCAGCCATCTTGGGGACAGCAGGTCTGGATTTCCATCTATGGCATTCTGTGCAGGTGTGCTGGAAGCGACGGATGGCTTCCCGCCCGCGGAGGATCCAAAAGGAGCGGTGGATCTCTGCAAACACCCTCTCAGTGCCGGGAATGCACAGACCGCTGTTGTAGTGGATGGAGTCTAGTGGATGGATGACCAGGATTGAGGACGATGGGATGAACTGTATCATGTTCTAGATCTTCGGCACGACGTAGTCTACCACCAACTCTGAGATCTCCGGACTTGTCAAGCTCAGGTGACAAAGTAAGTAGGCAACTGCTGGATGGGACAGGCTTACCAGTTTTCAGGAGACTGAGCTCATCTGGAGAAACTCTCTCGCTGGGCTCTCTTGAAGATGACGGTCTCCGCTTTCTTGTAGTCTTCGGCAGTAGGGTCACCCCCCTGACCTGCCGCCCCATGTAGCACTTGCGTAGTGACTTCTAGAAGCTCCTTCCAGGTGGTACACTGACTCACATCTGGGTCTTGGGGACCAGCAACTGCAGTGACACCACAGAAGGTGGGCTTCCGGAGTTCAGATGTGTCCTCTTCAGGATGAGCGTTTGTGTGGCTTAGCTGGCCACTCGTCTGGACTTTGAAGGAGAAACGGTGGTCTTTGGCTCCATCTGTTGGGCTCCGTAAGGTCTTTCAGAGTTTTGCCTCTCGTGATGTCATCTGCGGGATTCCTCGCCAAATCCACATAGCGCCATGCACGGAGGTATTAATCTCGGCCACCCGGGTTCCTACAAAAACTTTAAAGTGGCAGGATTCCGACTGCAGCCACATCAGCACGGTTGTGGAATCTGTCCACAGGGTGGTCTGGTCGATTTTCAAGGTAAGCTCTTTTTCTAGCAGCTTGGCAAGCTGGGCTCCAGTGACTGCTGCACAGAGCTCCAGTCTTGGCATGGAATGTAGTCGCTTAGGAGCAACTCTGGACCTGACCATCAGGAATGAGTATGAAAAATGTATGCACTCACTAACTGTAAGTCGCTCTGGATAAGAGCGTCTGCTAAATGACAAAATAAATGATAGGTAGGTCTTGCTGTGACCATCTTCTGTCCTCAGGTACGCGACGGA